TTTAGGGGTTCAGCGGTTGGGATATGGGATTTGGGATTTGGGGGGTTCAGGGTTTTGGAGTTTAGGGGGTCTTACGGCTTAAGGTTTTTGCGGGTCTTAGGGGCTACTGCAGGGTTGAGCTTGAGTGTTTTTGCAGCGTGTATGGAAGGTTTAGTTCTGGGGGTTTGGAGGGTTTGAAGGTCAGGTCAGGGTGTTTAGGGTTAAGGGTTTAGGGTTTAGGGCTTAGGGTTTTTGGTTTAGAGTTTAGGGTTTAGGGTTAGGGGTGTGTTTGGGGTTGGTTCTGGGGGCGTTTGACGTTGAGGTTGTGTAGATTTTGCGGTTTGGTGAGAATGGGAGCTTGATGTCGTGAGGATGTGGAACCCTGTTAGGGTTTAGGGACGAGGGATGAGGGGCTGAGGGTTTAGGGTTTAGGGAACCCTAGACCCCAAACCCCAAACCCTAAACCCTAAACCCCAAACCCCAAACCCTAAGCCCTAAACCCTAAACCCTAACTAAACCCTAAACCCTAAACCCTAAACCCTAAACCCTAAACCCTAAACCCTAAACCCTAACACAAATTCCGTTTTGAATGTTGGGTCCGGGGCTCACTGCCCTGCAGGAATGTACGGCCTAGTGTAAGGAGCCCACCCAAGGTTCAGGGTTTCGTGCCTTGAGGTTTAGGGTTTAGGGTTTAGGGCTAGGGTTTGGGGTTCAGGGTTTAGGGTTTGGGGTGTAGTGCGAGGCTTTGTGCTCTGGTTGCTGTCCCCCAAGCGCCTAAAAAGACATCTTCGTCTTAAACCCTAAATCTGAACCTTAAACCCTAAACCCTAAACCCTAGACCCTAAACCCTAACCCTTACAGGGGTGTGACAGGCCTTACCAGCTGAAACGCGCCAAAGAGGTGCATGCTTGCTTCGGGGGCTGTTGAAGCAGTTGTGGGGCATCTTGCTGTGGGTCAAGGACCCTTCAATCCTAAACCCTAACCCTAAACCCTAAACCCCAAACCCCAAACCCTAAACCCTAGACCCTAAACCCTAAACCCTAAACCCTAACCTCTCTTTTCTGGCGCGTGCGGGGTTTTAGGGGTCTCTGCGCAACTCGGTTCTAGATACCATAGCCAATCTTGGGGTACCCCACCACTCGGGCCTTCTGGGGATAAACCTCCCTAAATGGCCCTAAACCCCTAAACCCTAAACAGGAAGAAGAAGAAGAAGAATAAGAAGAAGAAGAAGAAGAAGAAGAAGAAGAAAAGGCAAAAGGAAAAAGAACAATAATAACAAGAAGAAGAATACGAAGAAGAAGAAGAAGAATAAGAAGAAGAATAAGAAGAAGAAGAAGAAGCAGAAGAAGACGACGAATAATAAGAAGAGTAAGAGGAGGAAGAGGAGGAAGAATCTGCCCTTGTTCGAGGTTGTGGTGGGGTCGGGCCCTAAAAAAGGGTTAGGGTTTGGGGTTTAGTGTCTAGGGTTTAGGGTTTAGGGTTTAGGGTTTAGGGTCGAGGGCTTAACTGAGGTGGAATCAGATGGGATGCAATAGGAAATTGGTTGGCCCCATATAGAAAAATAAGCCGAGCTCGCCGCTGAGCAACTCTGAGCCCTGAACCCTGAAGCCCAGGCCCTAAACCCTAAACCCTAAACCCTAAGCCCTAAACCCTAAACCCTAAACCCCAAACCCTAAACCCTAAACCCTAAACCCTAAACCCTAAACCCTAAACCCTAAAAGTTCCTGTTGCTGTGAGGAGCTTTGCCCATACTATGCCGGTCTACAGCCGCCGACTCCAGGCTTGGCGTTGAGGGTTTAGGGTTTAGGGTTTAGGGCTTAGGGTTTGGGGCTTGGGACTTCGGGTTTGGTTTGGGAGGGGGGAGGGGGTTGCTGTTTGGGGCTTAGGGTTGCGTCCTTTCCGGGGTGGGTGGGGTATGTAGGGGGGCAGGATAGGAACCCGGCATTGAGGGTTCTCAGTTTCGAGTCAGAGTGCCATAGGATCCCAGTGGTATCTTACTTGCCACTCTTCATTTAGGTTCAGAGTTCCCACATGAATCCCATTAAGCAACGACGGGGTTCGTTGAATTGTTTTCGTCCTTGGTGCACAAAGACACCAGAGCCCCTAAACCTTGAACCTAAAATTCTAAAACCCTAAAACCCTAAAACCCTAAAACCCTAAAACCCTAAGACCCTAAAACCCTAAAACCCTAAAACCCTAAAACCCTAAACCCTAAACCCTAAACCCTAAACCCTAAACCCTAAACCCTAAACCCCAAAACCTCCTGTGGCCTCCCAGCCTTCGCCACGTCAGGCCTGATGGCAGCTTACCCGACGGCAGAGGTGGCACAACTCCGCTCAGCCCCGATCTTATCTCTGCCAGCATTAGGTTCTGAGTTCCAAAACAAACCCTAAACCCTAAACCCTAATCCTCAAACCCTAAACCCTAAACCCTAAACCCCAAACCCCAAACCCCAAACCCTAAACCCTAAACCCTAAACCCTAAACCCTAAACCCCACATGTGGGTCTGAGGTGACCAGCTCCCAGCTTCCACCAGCGGAGTTCTTCCAGGGCGCTTCGTTCCTGGCGGCGAAGGAGGCCTGCGGCTTGGTCTTTGGGGGGCTTAGGGTTTAGGGTTTAGGGTTTAGGGTTTAGGGTTAGGGTTTAAGTAGGGTTTAGGGTTTAGGGTTTGGGGTTTGGGGTTTAGGGTCTAGGGTTTGGGGTTTCGGGGTTTAGGGTTTGGGGTTTAGGGTTTAGTGTCTAGGGTTTAGGGTTTGTGGTTTAGGGTTGAGGGTTTGTGGTTTAGGGTTGAGGGTTTGTGGTTTAGGGTTGAGGGTTTGGGGTTTAGGGTTTCGGGTTTGGGGTTTGGGGGGTGCAACTATTTGCTTTGATGAGGTTGGTGTATGTGCTGGTTTGGTAAGGGAGGAGGTCTAGGGCGTTTTAAGGCCTAGGGTTTTAGGGTTGAAGACCAGACTTTGATCCGAAAGTATGGCAGAAGCTTACCTCCCTCCCTTACCCTGCCCTCCCTTCCACTAGGTCCCTATAGCTTGGCCTTTGGTCGTCAATCCCTAAGGTCCCTTCTAGGGCATCCTGTAAGTAAGAACCCTCAACCCTAAACCCTCAACCCTCAACCCTCAACCCTCAACCCTCAACCCTAAACCCTAAACCCTCAACCCTCAACCCTCAACCCTAAACCCTAAACCCTAAACCACATGTGGCTGTGGCATCTTTCGCCAGGTGCAGCGGGACATTGGTTCTGTCGCTGATGTCAGGCACAGCGCCGCCGGCCCTTCCCCACCTCTGCAAGTGGGGTTTCAGAGCCCTCTGAAGCCCGAAGCCCGAAACCCTTAACCCTAAACCCTGAAAAATTCAACTCAAAACCCTAAACCCAAAACCCTAAACCCTAAACCCTGAACCCTGAACCCTGAACCCTGAACCCTAAACCCTAAACCCTAAACCCCCGCTTCGGTATTTGCACGTGATGGAGGGGCAGGGGTGTAATCTAGGGGCCTGAAGTTTAGGGTTTAGGGTTTAGGGTTTAGGGTTTAGGGTTAGTTCAGGGTGTCGGGGTGATTACTTGGAGGTTCAGGGCACTTATAACCCCAATTATAACTGTACTTATACGCCCCCTAAGTCCTCTAAGTAGGTTATAAGTAGATTTAGAATTTTGGTTATAAGTACCCATGAACTTCCAACTATAGTATAGCTATAGAGGGACCACAAGGGAGTACTATTCGTAACGATTCCGACGGGAAGCCCAAGTTAGGGTGGTCTAGACTTAGAGGTTTTAGGGTTTTAGGGTTTTAGGGTTGAGGGGTTTAGGGTTTAGGGGTTTAGGGTTTAGGGCTAGGATTTAGGGGTTTAGGGTTTAGGGCTAGGGTTTAGGGGTAAGGGCAACCCGCCCACTCTTCTGCACCGTGAGCCGCCGTGGCAGGTCGGCGTGGACAGCTGCTGAGTCCTATCAGCTGTGCTTCGCTGAGTGACCCTAAGTTTAAGGTTTAGGGTTTAGGGTTTAGGATTTAGGTTTAGGGTTTGGGGTTTGGGGTTTAGGAGAAAGTCCTAAACCCCAAACCCAAAACAGCTTTCCTAGCAACCTTCCAACGCCAGTAGCTTCCACGATGTTTGGACAGCGTAGCCTTTCAAGCTGAATCCCTCAAATCCTTGCCGTTGGAAAGAATTTTCGAGGAATCATCGTATTGATTTGCGGGGCTTCCGCAAATAGGCGAACCCAATTTTGGGTGGCTCCTTTCATCAGGGCTTTCCTCTATTGGTGGAGCAGCTGCTGCATTTTGGCAGTTCATGTGGCACTTGCTGGCAGATGATGCCAAGATTTCTGCTTCCACCTGCCTCGTGGCTGCCTTCGTGGGCCGTCATTCTAGCAGAAGCCCTTTTAGGGTTTTAGGGCTTAGGGTTTCGGGCTAAGGGCTTCAGCGTGCCGCGCGTTTTTGAGGCCACGACTGCTGTCTGTGACCACCAGCGACCATGAAGAGCTCCACTCCTGGCGCATCCCAGCATGCAGTTTAGTGGCTTGTAGAGGGCTGCCCGGGGGATTGTAGGGTTCGGTTTTGTCAGGTTTCTAGGAGTTTTTGCCTTCAGGCCGTTGACCTGCGCCTGCGAGGGTTTAGGGTTTAGGGTTTAGGGTTTAGGGTTTAGGGTTTAGGGTTTAGGGTTTAGGGTTTAGGGTTTAGGGTTTAAGCCTTAGGGAACTCAAAAAGCTTGCGGGGTCTCAGTAAGGGATTCTAGGAAGTCGGTACTTATAGAATCCCTTCAAGGGTGTGTATGTATATATATATATATCTCTCTCTCTATGTATCTATCTATCTAATTATCTATCTATCTATATATATATATACATATATATATATATAAATAGCTATGTATGTATATGTGTGTGTAGGACATGGGCCCCCAATTCCCTCGTTCCCTTCCTAAGAACACCTGCAAGAAAGAATCAAGCCCAGGCAGCGTCGTCTCCCTGGTGCCATCCTCGGATTTAGGGTTTAGGGTTTAGGGTTTGTGGGGTTTAGGGTTTAGGGTTTCGGGTTTCGGGTTTAGGGTTTAGGGTTTAGGGGGGCTTTCGTCCCGCTTTCGTGCCGGCATGCAGGATTCACGGGAGTGGTTGATCCCCAAACCATCCTAAGCCCTCAACCCCAAACCCCAAACCCTAAACCACCCTAACCCCTAAACCCGAATTTTAAACCCTAAGCCCTGAACCCTGAACCCTGAACCCTGAACCCTGAACCCGAAACCCTAAACCCTAAAAGTGCAATGAGGGTGCCGACGGGACCATCTGCCTGCAACCTGAACCCCCCCCAAACCACCCGGAAAACCCGGAAACATTCGAGAAAGGAAAATCCGGAAAACCCGAAAGCCCCCCAAAACTCCGAACCCTTAACTTAAGCCCCTAAGCCCCGAAGTTGTCCCAGTCGCCAGGTTCAGGAATATTCTGTAAAGTATAGGGACAGTAACAAGTAAGGAACCCAAAAGGCCAGAACCCCGAAGCCCGCGAAGCCCGAAAACCCCAAAACCACCAAAACCACCAAAACCACCAAAGCCACACCAAAACCACCCACCCCCGCAACAACCCCAAACCCCCTCGTTGTGAGGTTTGGCATGGGCCTTAAGCCTAAACCCTGGCCCTAAACCCTGAGCCCTAAACCCTAAACCCTAAACCCTAAACCCTAAACCCTAAACCCTAAACCCTAAACCCTAAACCCTAAACCCTAAACCCTAAACCCTAAACCCTAAACTCCGGGCCTAGGCCGCCCCCCTACGTTGGCGGGCGGCGCTTAAGCCCTTTGACCTCGATGGCACAAGCCGACCCCAGGTCGCTACTGGTCCTCGGGTCATGATTTTGGGGGCCCCTGACCTTTTCAGGGGGGCACCGCCAGGGCCCAGCCGAGGGGGTCCCGGACCCTCCTCTGGCCTGGCCCCCTGGCCCCCCTGACCCCACTGGCCCCTGGGCACCCCAGAGGCCCGACCCCGCCCTTCGAGACCTCCTGCAATTAGCTGAATCAGTTTTTAGAAGTGGACTGTTGTCTGAGTTTAGGCCTAAACCCAAGGAGTAAGTTTGGGTGGCTTGCCGCCTTGGACGGCGTGGGGTGGGAGAAAAGTGTTAGATGGCCCTGCACAATCACAAAGAAAGCTGCTCTTCGCACCTCACGAAGCTTTCGAGCTTGTTCCGAAACCTAATCTTCACAGCATCTACGCCGAGAATCTACGCCCTATCACAGCAAACCCTAAACCCTAAACCCTAAACCCTGAACCCTAAACCCTGAACCCTAAACCCTAAACCCTGAGCCCTAAACCCTAAACCCTAGCCCTCCGGAGGCGTGGAGCCTCACCTGGCGGGGCATCCCGGAAATCTGGTACGGCGCAGAGCCTCATCCCCAGTTTCTGAGGGGTTTGGGGGTTTGGGGTTAGGGTTTAGGGTTTATGGTCCCTTACCTGCTTTAAAGGGTTCTGATGTAAGGACCCTTAGCTTGTGTAGGGTATATGCGTGGTATATAAGGGGCCCCCCTTTTAAGGGCCGCCATGAAGCTACTACAAGACAGTTTGGGATCCTGGATCTCAAGCCCGAGACACTGAACCTGGTGTTTAGGGTTTAGGGTTCATGATCTTCTTCTTATTGTTATTGGGTCCTTTGTTCGTATTCTTATGGCTTTGGAGTTTGGGGGTTGGGGGGTGTTAGGGTCTTGGGCTTGGAGATTTAGGCGGTTTTATCTTTGTGAGTTGGGCATCTTGCCGCCACAGCGAACTTTTAAGTTGAAGTTGATAGCCCCGCATAGGCCTAAACCCTAAACCCTGAACCCTAAACCCTCAACCCCCAACCCTAACAAAAAGCAAGTCGCAGGTTCTAGGCCTACGCCCTCAACCCTAAACCCTAAACTGAAACCCTGAAGCCTGAACCCTGAAGCTGAAGCCCTGACCCCAAACCCCCCCCCCCCAAGAAATCAACGAAACAAGTTATTCCTAAACCCTAAATCCTACATCCTAAACCCGAAACCCTAAACCCTAAACCCTACCCCCTCCTCCTCCACCTGAAAAAAAAAACAACAAGTCGCAGGTTTGGCTTCACGGGGCTCTGCTACGGCAACGAGGCGGAGCGGCAGGAGATCTTGCAGAGGCCTGGGGCGCCGTAAGTACGAAACTCGGGATTTGAGGCTTCGGGCTTGCAGGGTGGAGGAAGGTGGGTTTAGGGTTTAGGGTTTAGGGTTTAGGGTTTAGGGTTTAGGGCTTAGGGTTTAGGGTTTAGGATTTGGGGTTTAGGGTTTAGGGTTTAGGGGTTTCAGGTTTTTGTGTTTAGGGTGTACAGGAGTTACGAATGCATGCAGAACGAGGGGCCCATCATGTAGCCACATCTCTTGCGAGCGCCGACGCCCCAAAGCTCCCAAACGCCAAAGCCCCAAACCTTCAACCCCTGAACCCCTAAACTGAAACCCTAGCTGAGCCCAGTGAGCTGCCCGCAGGATGGTAAGTGCAAAGATCAGCCCCGGCGTGGCCGAGGATGTGTGCAGCTCCTTTGGTGATCAGGGCACATGATTCTGCTGACCCGAACCGTAACCCTAAGCCCTAAACCCGAAACCCGAAACCCTAAACCCTAAACCCTAAACCCTAAATGCACCCTCCAGTCGCCACCCTAACCGGCAGCCCTTAACCCGAAGCCGAGTCCAGATGGCGAAGCTGCGGATGCTAAGCCCCGAAAGCCCGTGACCCCGTTTAGGGTTTAGGGTTAAGGTTTAGGGTTTAGGGATTGGGCTTCCCCCAAACACCCCCCAATGCCCCCAAATATGCTGAACTTAGACAGGACCTTCTCCAGCACTGCGACTACCGTGTCAAGGGCGCATCCTCCGTCGATCGCGGGTTCTGGCGTCAGGACCGAACTTAGGGTTTAGGGTTCAGGGTTCAGGGTTTAGGGTTTAGGGTTTAGGGTTTAGGGTCCCTTAAACCTTAAAGGGCGAGTCTGGCCTAGCTCCCGAACTCCCTACTCGAGCCAGCAGCAAGCAAGCTCAGGGTTGAGGCACACACTTCTTCGGGAGTGTAGGGGGCTTGGGGGCTTAGAATTCAGATCGATTTAGGGGTTTAGGGTTTCGGGTTTTGGGTTTAGGATGTAGGGCTTGGGGTGGGGTTTAGGAGAATATAGCTGGTTTTAGGGGTCCAAGATTCAGAAGTCAGATTTTAGGATTTGGGGGTTTAGGGGCTAGGGTTTTAGTATTTTGGGGGTTAGATATGCCCATGTGTTTTCGACGTCGGTTCTCAGAGTTCGTCCCGCTCTAGACCCTGGACACAGAACCTGAACAACTGGGTTTAGGGTTTAGGGTTTAGGGTTTAGGGCTTATAGGGTTTGGGGTTTAGGGTTAAAGCTTGAACCCCAAAGCAAACCCCGCCTCCGAGACCAGCCGCCTCGTCGAAGATTCCTGGAAGCCGCAACTTTCAAACCTTAACCGCCTATCGAAGTCTTAAACCCTAAACCCTAAACCCTAAACCCTAAACCCTAAACCCTAAACCCTAAACCCTAAACCCTAAACCCTAAACCCTAAACCCTAAACCCTAAACCCTAAACCCTAAACCCTAAACCCTAAACCCTAAACCCTAAAACTAAAACCCTAAACCCTAAACCCTAAACCCTAAACCCTCACCCTCACCCTACCCTTAACCCTTAAACCCTAAACCCTAAACCCTAGACCCGAAACCCTCGACCCTAAATCCCAAACCCCAAGACCCCCCCCCCCCCCCCGCCCACCCCGCCTCCGCCCCTCCAGGACATGTTTTCCGGAGGGCCGATGGAGTTGGGCCGTGCCGCTCAAGCCTCAGCCCTAAGCCCTAAGCCCTAAACCCTAAACCCTAAACCCTAAACCCTAAACCCTAAACCCTAAACCCTAAAACCTAAAACCCTAAACCCTAAACCCTAAACCCTAAACCCTAAACCCGAACCCTAAATCCTAAACCCTAAACCCCAAACCCTAAACCCTAAACCCCAAACCCCAAACCCTAAACCCTAAACCCCGAAGGCTCATCAAGTGAGGGGCTTCCATCGGATGTTGAATCGGGGCCCTCGGAGCCCAAGACCTGAAAAAGAAGGGCTTCAGCTCCGAGGCCCCTAAGCCCCAAGGGTTTAGGGTTTAGGGTTTAGGGTTTAGGGTTTAGGGTTCCCTCCAACCCCTCAACCCCACACCCCAAACGCCGCAACCTCAGCGCTGACCAAAGCCCAGAACCCTAAACTGAAGAACCCCCCCCTAAACCCGAAACCCTACACCCTAAACCCTAAAAATACCGAACTCCTCAAACTCCCTAAACCCTAAAGCCCCTAATCCTTCAAAATCCCTAAGCCCTAAAAATCCCTGAGCCCTAAAAATCCCCAAGCCCTAAACCCTAAACCCTAAACCCTAAACCTTAAACCCTAAATCCTAAACCCTAAACCCTAAACCCTAAACCCTAAATCCTAAATCCTAAACCCTAAACCCTACACCCTGTACCCTAGACCCTAAAGCCAAAGCCCCAAAACCAAACGATGCATCCCAGGCCTTCGATTCCACCTCGCCGTCTCCAGGCCAAGTGGAGCTCAGGGCGCATGCCTTAGGGGTTTAGGGTTAGGGTCTAGGGCTTGGGTTTAGGGTTTAGGGTTTAGGGTTTAGGGTTTAGGGTTTAGGGTTTAGGGTTTAGGGTTAGGGTTTAGGGCTTAGGGTTTAGGGCTTAGGGTTCAGGGCCTTGTTTTGACAGTTGTCCCCATGACGCGCGGGTGTGTGTGTGTGTGTGCGCGCGCGTGTGTTTCTTTTTTTTTCTTCTATGTGTGTGTGTGCTCCTATTGGGAGGTTTTAAGACATCAAATCAAATTCAGGCTCAAGTTGAAGGGTTCAGGGGTCATGGTCAGTTTTTTAAGCTGTGCTCCCCTTTGCAGTTCCAAGTCTGATGCGGGGCCTTCCTGAGGCTCCCCCCCCCCCACAAAAGAAGGAAAACAGAACGAAGAACAGGGTTTAGGGTTTAGGGTTTAGGGTTTAGGGTTTAGGGTTTAGGGTTTAGGGTTTAGGGTTTAGGGTTTAGGGTTTAGGGTTTAGGGTTTAGGGTTTAGGGAAACAAGTCGCATGTGGAAAAGCCTACGTTGAAGGTTCTTTCTTCAACGCAGGTAATGGTTCGTGACGTTTGAAAAGACTACAGAAGTCTGCTCTGCCAAACAGGGTTTAGGGTTTAGGGTTTAGGGTTGTTCGCAAAAAAGGGGTTACTTGAACTAAGAGCATGTGGATCACCAGTTGGGGGGTTTGGATTCTTCATATGACAAAGGGCCTTGAATCACAGGGTTTGAGGGGTTAAGGGGCTTCGGTTGGGGTGTCCTAAACCCGGCCCTAAACCCTAAACCCTAAACCCTAAACCCTAAACCCTAAACCCTAAACCCTAAACCCTAAACCCTAAACCCTAAACCCTAAGCCCTAAGCCCTAAACCCCAAACCCTAAGCCCTAAACAGGGTCTCGGAGTCTCGGGTTTCAGGGGTTTCATATAAGTTTGGGGCTCCAGGTCTTCGTGGTTTTCGGTCGACTTCACGGCTTTGGCGGTTCAGAGAAAGAAGGGGGGCTGTCCATGCTTTCCTTCGTCATCTTACGCCCCAAGGGTTTAGGGTTTAGGGTTAGGGTTTAGGGTTTAGGGTTTAGGTTTTAGGGTTTAGGGTTTAGGGTTTAGGGTTTAGGGTTTAGGGTTTAGGGGTTTAGGGTTTAGGGAACTCTGTGGTGTTTTAGTGCTTTACTGCAACTTTAGATCTTTAGCCTTTTTGGGCTTATTGGGTTTCTTAATAAGGCATCTAAAACTTAAGTTTATAGCTACCATGTTAAGTGCAGCGAAGGGAAATCGTGACCCCAAAGCCAGATAAAACTTCTTGGAAAATTGCATTACAGACGCCTAAACCTTGAAACAAAACAGAGATTGAGCACATCGTTTCTTTCAGCAGGTCGCTTCACTCAGAATCGCAAGGCGCTGTAAAAAAACCAGTGTTTTGCGCATGGTCGCCAAAGGTATGGACTCTGGTGTCAACGTGTCTTGTTCTACATCCTTGCGCAGTATGTTCTACAAAGAGGCCAAAACGCCGTAACTGCCAGTTTTGGGGGCATAGTCGCCAAAGGCATGGACACTTGTGACAACGTGTCTTGTTCCACATCCTTGCGCGACAAGAGGCGAAAACGCTGTAAACATGAGCGTTTTGGATTGAGATGTTCGCCCTTATACGAACAGTCCTTAATAGTGATTATACCAGGGGGTACTGTAATCCCTCTTACAGACTGTTAGTCTAAGGGGAAACATCCCAAGTTGTGGACATGGTGCAAGTGCCATAGAAAGGCGGGAGCACAGCGGGAGCAGAAGCATCCAACCGCTTCTGCCAGTGAAGCCTCCGGAAGCCCTACGCCTTCCCTTTCCTGGTTTTCCCAAGCCCAAGCCCTCCACTAAACCCTGTTAAACCCTCAAACCCTAAACCCTAAACCCCAGAACTGGCCCAGAACCCTCAACTTCCAAAGTAACCCCAAACCCGAAACCCTAAACCCCAAAAATCCCGGAGTAAACCCTAAACCCTAAACCCTAAACCCTAAACCCTAAACCCTTAACCCTTAACCCTTAACCCTTAACCCTAAACCCTAAACCCTCAACCCCATAACAACCCTCAAACTCCGAGCGTCCTGGCTGAGGCTGGGCTCATGTCCGCGGCCCCGCCCCACTGGTGCGAGGAGCCGATCTTCGACCGGAGTAGCCAGGCCTGTGAAGGGTTGGGTTTAGGGTTTAGGGTTTAGGGTTTAGGGTTTGGGGTTTGGGGTTTGGGGTTTGGGGTTTGGGGGTTTGGGGTTTGGGGTTTGGGGTTTAGGGTTTGGGGTTTGGGGTTTGGGGTTTGGGGTTTAGGGTTTGGGGTTTGGGGTTTAGGGTTTGGGGTTTGGGGTTTGGGGTTTGGGGTTGAGGGTTTTTGGTGGCTCCTTCCTTTACCGCACCCTACCCTGCACAAACAAGGCGCAAATGACCCTTCATCAGGCCTGACTTTGGGCCTTCTCTTGTGCCTCTGGGATCCTAAACCCTAAACCCTTAACCACCCTAAACCCTAAACCCTTAACCCTTAACCCTAAACCCTTTATAATCCCAGGTTACTGGGCGACCTAAGTTCGGGTTGGGGGGGGTTTCATGCTTCAGGGAGTGGGGTTCAGGGCACGCTGGAAAAGAGGTTTTTTGGTTCTTTGTGTGTGGGGGGGCAACGGCCGCCCCCAGCCTCCCAAGCCCTAAACCCTAAACCCTAAACCCTAAACCCTAAACCCTAAACCCTAAACCCTAAACCCTAAACCCTAAACCCCTAAAGCCTAAAGCCTAAAGCCTAAAGCCTAAGCCTAAAGCCTAAAGCCTAAAGCCTAAAGCCTAAAGCCTAAAGCCTAAAGCCTAAAGCCTAAAGCCTAAAGCCTAAAGCCTAAAGCCTAAAGCCTAAAGCCTAAAGCCTAAAGCCTAAAGCCTAAACCCTAAACCCTAAACCCTAAAACCTAAACCCCTAAACCCTAAACCCTAAACCCTAAACCCTAAACCTAAA